TACAGCCGGGCAAAAGAGCCAATTGGGAAACAGCCAACTAGCTGATTGTCAAAGTGATCCAGGTTGTCTTGTAGATTATGCATGTCATAATTGGTTGTTAGTAACATGCTACTAACAAGTAGTAGAGGATAAAAATGCACAATGCTGAGTAACTATATCTTTTGTTTTATTTAGAACCACCCACAGAATTTAGACTCTCGTCGCTGTATGAACTGCAGGTCCGCTTGTCCGGAGCATGGAGCTACGCCGCATTCATAAAGCCGACTCCTCAACTGGCCACTGTACTCTGCAAAATACTCGGCTTCAGGTAATTTGTCATCTTCAAAGCCGGGCATTTGGTGTCACAGGCCTTGAAGATAATTTTTTGCCGTCGGATTGATTTCAAATGAGACTAAATTGTAATGAGATTCATTGCTCGAGCTCCGGCTTGTGTGATTTGAAGCCACTTTAAACCTCGGTTTTGCACAGTTCTTGGCATACCTTCATGGGACTATAGTGAAATTGTGCTGGGATTCTTCATCCCTTTCAAGAAAAATGAGTCTGGCTTGTGACAATCCCACTCCAAAGCTTGTCACTTCCTTTTTACTAATTAAGCTTAAGTAGTAGCCTAAAATTCGTCAAAATAATCCAACGAATCTGGGCTCGTGTGGGAAGTACGACGTGATACTCCCCTACGAAATTGTGCCCAGTTGTGCGGATGTACCAAACGGCGGACGGAGGCCCAGTGTGTCTTCTTCAAAGCGGATATACAACACCAGATCAAGGAGAATGCCTAGCTTACTTATATTGTGAGTAAAAGTGTTTAGTGTAAAGATCCTAAAGTGGATCTCACTAGAAGACAATCTGCAGCGGATTTCTCTTGATCAGCTGTCGACTGGCCTAAATAAAACATTTTTGATGACGCTGTTCTCGAGGCAATCTCCTTTGATTCCGGTGAAAAAGTCATAAGCTTTTGTCCTTTTTATAAGGAACATGATCACAGCGACCATATTAAAGGGTGTGTGTACAGCATCTATAGATAGACAGATTGGTTTTCTTGAAGATATCCGTCATTGGAAGGACGAAAGAGTAGCGCATTTTCAGTGAAATCGAAGAGTTTGCCTCAGAAACAGCCTCAACGAAAATTTTCCGTTTAGGCTAATCGACAACTGGCAAAGAGGACTCCGTCGGAGGTCGTCTTCTGATGGGATTCACTTTAGCATTTCTTTTCCAAACACTTTCACTCGAAATGAAAGATTTCTTGAAACCCAAATTTCCTCCCCAAACGCTCAGTCCAAATAAAACCTATACGAAGGTTAAGTGGGCTCTGCTGCCTCTCTTAAAATAACCTTTCGGCGGTGACTTTCATTGCTTGTGAAATCGCCTCAACAACGTTCGTCCTAAGTTGATAATTCAATCGTGCTTACTTCTTTCCCAACGTTTTACTTTCATTATTTCCGGTCTACCTGGTCCTTGCTCCATTAGCTTCAGTATAAATCCCACGCTAGTCTAACCACACCATTTTTTATGTTTCCCGTCCCCTCGCAGCACTTGGGGTGGACAATACGCATATTATGATGTGAAATATTCTCCAAATGAACGTATCAGCTACTGGGTCGGCGATTATGATTGTCTCGGTACAGAGACCAGTCTGGACAATTGCAGATCTGCTCAGACCTACTATGCAGACAACGTCGGGAGATTTTTTCTCTTCTGCAAAAATAGTAAGTAACTTTAAGTTAAGGATTTTATGCATGCTCGTTCAATTAAATCTGTAACATGAGATGTATTCACCCAATTTCGTTAAAGGTGATGACGGACTGGTAGAAGAAGAATTTTCCCACAATGATATGAGTTGAACTGACGTTTCCATTCAAATTCACATAGCCTTGCTTTTACAAAAGTTGTTCTTGCAACTATGTGTAATTCATATGAAATTTAATGAAAACGTCAGCTCAACTCATATCATTGTGGGAAAATTCGTCTTCTACCAGTCCTTCATCAGCTTAAACGAAATTGGGTGAATACATCTCATACTACTGATTTACCGGTAGTCATTAAAACAATACTTAATTCGAAGAATAAAGTAAACTAAGCCTCTCTACGGAGCACATGATTCCGCATAGATATTGCTTCAAAGCACCCAATGAATTGAAGGAAAACGTGATTCTCAGGAATAGGCCTGACCATGTGCAACTTCTGTCCGGAATAACTCTGGGATAACGCCCAACATTTATCACACTTGGAAACATACCCAAATGCTGCACAAGCATTGCTTTTGGCTAGTTTGTTATCAAATTGGGGTTCATTTTAAATTAAACTAAGCTTATTTATGCCCAGCTTGAACTAGTTTGTACAAATATTTCTCATTCCAATATTTTTATATGA